TATTCACCTGAGTACACTACACCAGCACAGAAAAAAAATTCATATTACTAGAATACATTGGTATCGAAGGAACTAGATTCTGTTCCGAAATATCACTTACTCGAACCGTCCTGACCGCGTAGCTCAGTTGGAAGAGCATTGGGCTAGTATTCCAAAGGTCGTAGGTTCGAATCCCACCGTGGCCGGGCATATTTTTCAAGCTCGCCCGCTGTGGATATACACTCAGAGTAACACCACAAATATCATATTTCAATTTGTTTGATATGTAAATGAGTGTGAATATGTCCGCTAATTTATGACGTCACTTTGGTTGCAATCTCTTCAAAATGGTTGAATATCACTGCTATCATCCAAGATGATAATTTCAAACTTCACTCACTGGTAAATGTGATGAAACACTGTCTTTAGAGTTAATAGACTTATATCCAGTGTAAGTTGAGCTTGCAACCAAAGTGACGTCATAAATTAGCGGACATATTCACACTTATTTACATATCAAACAAATTGAAATATCTCGGGAACAAACCATGAAAAGGAGAAACTGAAAAATAAGTTACACTATAGCTTAAAGAGTTCTATCGTACAAGAAAATAAGAAATTTCATGTCATATGCACTTTAAGGAACAGTGGAACGAGCCATATTTTGCAATAGCAACCCGGTACAATGCCGAAACAATTATATGGGACATGCCGACATGGGAACATGTATAAGCTTGGGGAACAAGGGAGCATGGTGAAATATTTTTTTTGAACAATTATAACTGAAAGAAAAACCTTTCAAGTGAACATTAGAACACATAATTCTCACCAACCGGGAGACCTTCGATATTATAGCTACCATGATTTGTCTGAACTACCTACTAGTGCATTCTTCAGTGTTTCAAACGAAAAACCTTTGCCAAAATATCATTCCTCGATATCAAAGTGTTTATTTAAAATTCTCTCTACACCTGCATTGATAGTGATGTAACTTGATAATGTCATACTTATTTATAGTTTCTTAGATTTACGTTTTATAGTTCATCCAATAAGGGACATATATATTTGATTTTCATTTCTCACAGTTTATCTGTGCTTCTAGAGAGTTGAAAGATCAGTCTGTCAAAAATGAAAAAGATCTTAACGAAGAAGTTGAAAGTCTGAAATTCAAAGTGGAAAAATCTGAACAAAGAGCATTTGGTAATGTTGACCATAGAGAAATTGGTGGGTTTTTTTCAAGATTTACAAATTTTACACTAAAAGAGGTCAATTATTTTAGACCTGGAAAAGAAAGAGAACCTTCTTTCATCCCAGCTATTATCAACGGAAAAAGAAATGACTAAACTCCGTGCAGAGAATTCTCAAAAGACTCAAGAAACATCAGAACAAAAGGAAACAATCCGGGTAAGAAGGTCTAAGAAAATACATGATTGAATTTTGTTCCTTAAAAATATTGAACACTGCATGCATGTCTGGTAAAAAGTAGAATGGCTCTTAATTATTTGGGGGTACCTGCTCAACTGTAGGCTATATCTCAATATGTGTATATATTAGTAAATTATATGATCACATCACTTCTATTTCGTTAATTAAATTTATTTTATTTTGCAGAAATACGAACAAAAAGTTGCCGAACTTCGTGGGAAAGTTCAGGAACTTGAATTGTTAATGAAAAGACAAAGCGAAAAATTCGCGTATGTATACTCCATGGCATGTAATGCAAAATTTCGAATTTCGTAAAGTAACTGTCACTAATATTCAATAATATCCGAACTGGTTTATTATCAGGCAAATATACAGGGTGTATCAAAATAAACGCAATTCATCTTTTGTGCTTAATAACTTTCGAAATACTATTTCTAGTTAAACGCTTTTAGGCTTACTTCAAAGCCTGTTCTTTTCTCTTTCAAACAAACTATTATCCTTGTCTCCAATGCTAGTAGTAATTGCACAGGAAAAGATTTAGTAAAACCTATCATTTTTAGTTGCTGTTTAATTATGCAAGTTTACTATGTTATTGTTTAGTCGGTTTAAATGTTAGAATTTTCTTCTTTAAACTTTAATGTTGTCGTCACTACATCTGGAAAACCACGTAAGAACAAATTAAAAGTATTTTAAAAGAGACCACGTTGTTTGGAAATCCTAAACGAATGCTAAAAATCATAGAATCAAAACATTCTGGTGTCTGAGCCAGAGTGTCATCGAATTGCGATGTAATGTAAACAGAAATTATAGCAAGCTGATGTCAGTCAGGTTAGATGGTCCAAGCCAAAATTATATCGCATTTGAAGTTTCAAACTGTGTTAAAAATAGTGAAAGAAAAGCCGTAATTATACTTATTGTTACAATCCATTTATTAAAATGCAACATTTTTTGTTTTAATGAAAAAATCAGTTATTTTCATGAGAACGATTTGTTATTCCATCTCAATTTTTAGTGTGAAGTTTCTTCGAAACTTCACAGTATTGTGATGACTGGGGGGAAATTCACACGAATCAGTCAGTCAGTCATTCATTCATTCAGTCATACAGTAAACTTTCCGGGGGGTGTATACGATATATGTTCGTAGTGATTTATCGTACTTAGTCTGTGCTTTGAAGGTTATTTAGGCAATTCCAGTTGTCTTATTTAAATATTCTTTAGGCCTTTTGCCAAGTTTTGCCAAGTTTACAAAAAAATCGAGGAATTGTTGTCGTTATTGTAAATTTTATAACATGCGCTTCTCATGTTGTGTAAAGGATCTTTACCCCGGAACACCCGATTTTTTCTTTAGCAGCGCAAATGCGCATGCGCTATCAAGCCGTAGATCACGAAGGCGTGACGATGCTAGGAAGGAGCGAGACAGTGTTGTTTTGAAGTGTATAAACATTTCAGACGTGAATATTGAAGAAAATCTTCGAGAATCTACGCAATATATAAATTGATGTTATGCATTCAATTAAGTGCTGATATTATTTAGACGTTATATTCATTTTACAGAGCTAGCAAGGAGCTAGAACAGTGCTTTTTTCAAGTGTATGTATTAAACATTTCAGACATAAATATTGAGTCGAAAATCTTTGAGATTCTAGGCATTCAATTGAGTGCCGATATTATTTTCACGGTATACCCATTATACAGAGGTAGGAAAGAACGAGAGAGTGTTGTTTTCAAATATATAAACATTTCAGACATGAATATTGAGAAAATCTTTCAGATTCTACGCAATATATATGTTGATGACGTTATGCATTACCGGCGCCCAATTAAGTGCCAGAAGATATATTGTTTAGGCCGTGTATTCATTATACATTGGCCACATTGGCTGTATAAGGTGCCACACCACAGAATAGATGGCTACACTCAGTACAAAGAGCGAAAAATTGCATCAGACAAAGCGTAAACAACTATTAAACAGAAGCGGGTGTTTGTATGGCGTTCACGAAGAAAATAACTTGTGAGTTGTGATCGAGACAAAAAAGTCAGTTGAGTCTGCAGAGCTCTTTATTTAAACAAGAAAGACGAGGAGTTATAGCCAACGTGTTATCGCTAATCGCTTGGCTTGCCAACAAGCTTTAAGCAAATTATTAGAAGAAAAAAGCAAGGAGGTAGCCAACGTGTACCGTCACGGACTTACTTTGTTTACTTGTATAGCACAACGTCAACAGTGCAAACTCGTGTTCAGTGCAACGATAACTCTACCAGATCTTACGAGAATCAATCTGTACACAGAGCCGTATCAAATCTTGTTAAAACTGCTTATATACACTGCTATAAACACTGCTATAACTGTGAAACTATTGAATACATGCGAAAAGCTGAAAATGACTCATGAAACGCAATGTGACATTGCCATTGAGAAGAGTGTATCTAAAAGTCGAGGGTCGAGAGTCGAGAGTATAGGTCGAGAGTCGAGAGTAAAAGTCGAGAGTCGAGAGTAAAAGTCGAGAGTCGAGAGTAAAAGTCGAGAGTCGAGAGTAAAAAGTCGAGAGTCGAGAGTAAAAAGTCGAGAGTCGATCGAGAGTAAAAAGTCGAGAGTCGACAAATGTCATCAGAACAACAAAGTCAAAATATTTTTAACCACGTTTAACACAGTCTATATATAGCTTTACATAGCCATTCCGTAACAAGTACCAACGGCTGAAATACAAATAATATCGCATTTGATGCCTCAATCTTGCTAAGTGTTTTCACATGTCATTTCATTCTAACTGACACATAAACTCCGCTGAATTTTGACAGCCATCTCCAGGCTTGTAACTAAAATGAGGGTCCTGAAAGGGGGGGGGGGTCGTATTCCCATTTCCCAGCCCAAATTTTGACTAAATCCCCATCGGCGTACCGGGCGGGGGGGGGGGCGGCCCGCCCCCCCAGTTTGTTGGACAAACAAAGCCAGTCGGGCAATATTCGCTTCACAGTCGGGCAACAACGCGGGCACAATCCGAAAAAGTGTGGCAAATTTTTTCCGCCCCCCCCCTAATTTTTTCCTTCCCATACGCCCATGTAAATACCATTGTCCCGGAGCACAAATCCCATCATCTCAGTGGCTGTCCTGCTCAAATATTCCCTTTTCTATTGTTTTTTTGCTGATGAATCCCAGTCCCAGTGCATGAAATCTCATTTTCCCACCCAAAAATAAGCAAATCCCAGTTCTCATTTTACCCCTTCAGGACCCTCTAAAATGTCACTTACAGTATTCATTAACGTACGTTTATATCAAACGACAGCGTATTAAGAAATCCACGTTGATCACAATCGATCTAACGATTCATACAATTGTGAATTCATAAATACAAGCCAGTAAAAATAGGATTGTTTTATCGTATGTGTGACTCTATCGGGTGGTCATATGTCTCGCACGTGATTGTAAAGTCCTAGTATTTATATGTAGCTTGTAGCTTCACATATGTGATATGAGTAATTTTTCGCGGAAATAGGTGCATGTAAAAGCGGGAAGGATGGACAGTAATATATAAGGAAGCGATAAAACTAGTTATTAGATAATAGTTATTATTATTGAATGTTGTGGCTAAATGTTTGCGAAAGTTTTTGTTTTATATTATACTGGATTATTCCTTTGATTGTATATGCCTCTTGTTTACTTTAATTTCGAGAATTTGAGCATACTAATTATGTTTCTCAAATATTGTTTGCTTTATGTTCCGATATAGGAAATGAAATTAGTTCAGCCGTCATAAGCGTACGAGCGGGAAAAATCAGGGAGCCAGAAAGAAAATTTACCCGACTTTTACCCACTGAATAAAACTTTCCGTGTAACTAAATTTCCAAAATTGTCGTTGGGAAGTAGACAAAAATATTTTCCTATTTGTCGATTCCTCGTTACTTTTACATATTTCTGTCTGGTATTTTCAAATACCATATTGCATGTACTGTCTTCTTTTTAAATTTATTTCCCCCGATTTTTGCCCGAATTTATACGTTTATAATTTGCATGACTTTATTTTGACTGGGGGGCGGGACTGCCTCCCCCCCCTCGCCCATACAGCTATAATCAGCTGTTGTTACGGATCGGTTAATATATATTGTGTTAAAAATATTTTGACTTTGTTGTTTCTGATGACAATTTTGCCGACTCTCGACTTTTCAGTTACTCTCGATCGACTCTCGACTTTTTACTCTCGATCGACTCTCGACTTTTTACTCTCGACTTTTTACTCTCGACTCTCGACTTTTTACTCTCGACTTTTTACTCTCGACTCTCGACTTTTACTCTCGACTCTCGACTTTTACTCTCGACTCTCGACTTTTACTCTCGACTCTCGACCTTTACTCTCGACTCTCGACCCTCGACTTTTAGATACACTCCGTCGGTAGGTGCCACTATGTTGGGGATTGCCTCCAAGTATCGCCCAAAATAAATCACAACAAAACACAGTATAATATCTATTACAAAATCACAAGTTTCACAGTTTCACAGCCACATGTTTTTAAGTTCTCTCTGGAAAAAAACAACAACCACCGGTATAATCCGGAACTTTCCGAAGTGTTTAAAGTTTGGACTCGCGCGTCCCACGCGTGAACATAAATACTAATTCTAGATTACGACAGTTTCCGACATGGGGCACTAGACGACGGCCAATCATCATAAAATTGGAAGTTTTCAGAACTCTTAATTTTGTTGCTTCCTTGCTTGTTTTGAATTATTAGATGCTTTCTAGAGGGAATAAAGCATGCAGTGTTAGTGAGTTCTTTTTGTCAAATTCTGTAATTTGTAGGATAATGCACGATGGAATAAAATAATTAGACAGAGTAAAGTAATTAAGTATAAGGGCGCATTGGAGCGCAATGCAACTTAAAGTGTTAAAGAATCCAAACAACTGTAATTCTTAACCTACAGTATGTGTTAGGGCTGGTTCACTTGTGGAATGTTCAAATGGATATTTGCACAGCTGAGATTTCAAAAATGCGAGCAGTAAATATGTGACGTGGCGAACTCCCTATCTCCAGGGCTCATTGATATTATTTCATGGCTGTGAGCAAAATTCAAAACGTGCTGCGAAAAAGCATCTTACTTTAGATTTTATGACCTGGACACGCGTTATATGTCTTACATAAAGTTTTTAGCATAATTTAGCAAGCGCATGCGCAGTAAGCATGCTCTTAAGAACACATGTTTTGTAGAAAAAGAAAATATAAGTTTTACCTCGGTTACTCGCTGTTTTTCTTGGGTAAAACAAAGGACTGCTAGCTAGGCAGTTAAAAGCAAGTAAACAATCGCATCTATTATTATGGTCCTTCGAAGACGGATGTAAATCAGCGAAAGAATGGCGTCGTTTGACTCATTTTGAAACAAGACAAATCGTAGAACGTAAACATGTCGCAAGAATCTCGTGAAACGCTAGCACAGAAACGAAGCATTACAAAGCGAAAAATCACCAATCTTATAAAGAAAGTCGTACCACTAGTACAAAAGATCGAAAGCTCACAATTCGACATTGTATGTGCTGAACAATACTTAAAGGAACTTCGTGATTTGGATAATCAATTTCAGGAAATATATTTATTGGCCAACGCTCAAATCGATCCTAAGGATGAAGAACTGATCGCAAAAGACTACGAAGAGCTGGATGCTCATGACGATCGAATCAGAGAAACTGTAAGTAAACTCGTATTTTTTATGAACACTCAATCTACCAAGGTTTCACATGAAACAAAATCATCTGATGGCAAAGATAAGAAAGCAATTATAGAACGAAAGTGGAATCGTATTGTGACTAACATAAACAAAACAATTGCAAATATTCAAGAAGCAACTGATAAGCCTAATGAAAGCGATATTGAAGATCTTATCGATATCAGAAATCAAATTTCTGAATGTGAGAAATCTCTTGATAGTTTTACAAGTGAAATTGAATCGTCTATACCAGATTTAGATGGTGTAGATGGCGGAAATTGGAATGATCTTTTATCTAGTTATTTTGACAAAATTAAATCAAATCAAGAGAAATTATCTATACTCATAAAGCAACATCGCCGTGAACAAATGCAGCAAACTAAAGAGCTTGAAATTGAAAAGGAAAACAGAAATAAGGAGCTCGAAGTTAAAAACACTCAACAACAGCATGAACTTAACTTATTGTTAAATAAAGTCAAAGCGCTAGAAAGTTCTGAAGTAAATGAACAAAAAACTGTGAAGCTTCCTCCACTCAATATCCCTACATTTGATGGGGAACCCACTAAATGGAAGTCTTATTGGCAACAATTTCAAGCGACAATACATAACTCGAAGAAATTAGATAATCAACTTCGCATGCAGTATCTTCTGAAATCCCTTGTCACTAAAAGGGCTAGAGATGCAATAGAAGGAATCGATGCAGTTGCAGAAGCTTACCCTGAAGCTATTGCAGCACTCAAGGCTCGGTTTGATCGCCCCCAAATTATCCATCGTGCCCATGCTAGAGCTTTGCTAAATGCCAAACCAGTTAAAGATGGCTCAAGCTCAGAACTGAGACAGTTACATGACACTTTCCAGCATCATTTAAGATCATTGAAAGCACAAGACAAGCTTGACTTTGATAGGTTTATGACAACATTGGGCGAGTCCAAACTTGATTCCCAAACAATGATTGAATGGCAAAAATTTACACAAGCAGAAAAGGATGTGCCTTCCTATACCAAATTCCTTGAATTTCTTGACCTCAGAGCAACAACTACTGAACTAACTTCCTTTGATGGAAATCAAAGAAAATTTCAGCCCTTTAACAAGAAACCAAAGTCGTACAGTCCTGGGAATTTTGGCAAATCAGAATCAGTCCATACCACTACCACACAATTTAAGTGTTCAGCTTGCAATGGGCAGAAACACAGCATAGCCTATTGCCAAGCCTTCAAAGAGAAATCCCTTTCCGAGAAGCGTGCCTTTGTGTATGAAAAGGGACTTTGCCTCAATTGTCTGAAGGGAAGACATATGGCAAAGCAATGTCCTTCACCACATTCATGTCTTAAATGTGGCAAAAGGCATCACACTTTATTGCATGTTGATGATTCCAAACCACCTGAAAACAAACCTGAATTGTCAAAGCAAGGTGCCCTAAACATCAATTTGCCCCCTTTCCCAAACCCCTTTCCACCAAGTAATCCACCCACCAGTAGTGAACCCGCAAGTAGTAATCCACCCACCAGTAGCTACGTAGCGACACCCAAAGCGAACAGCTTGAATAATGTTCTTATGATGACAGCTGAAGTCATTGTAAGCTCCCCATCTGGTCAACAAATAACAGCTCGAGCCCTACTCGACCCAGCTTCAAC